ACATCGGGGTATCGGGCAACCAGGATAGTGATGAATTCGGCCAAGATTCCACCAACAGAAGCTAGAGCCATCAGCCGTGTACGACCATATCGATCAGATAAATGGCCTATTTTCGGTGCGACTATAGCACTTAGAATGCCAGTGAATAAATTCATGACCAGCATGAATTTTGCCACGTTTGCTTGCACTTCGGGAATATCGCATTGGGGATTTTCAGACCCAAGAAGAACAGGCTGGAAGACTGCATCTGGATTACGGCTGTGTTCATCTGCGAAATACTGCCTGCAAACGAGCTGAAGGATCCTTATTGCATAAATTGGTAAGTAAGAGTACGAAATTCTGAATATCGCAAGCAACGGAAGCTTACAGGTCAAGTTTAGGAACCATTACACCTCCAAAGGCAAGAGTGAATATGATATAAGGACCAAGCAGCCAATAAACCTACAAGCAAGGTCAGAGCTGAGCCATATGGTTTTGAACAATGCCTAGGCGCATACCGATGGTTGCCGCCACCAGGGCAGGCCTTCAAAGTCCTTGAAGGAATCCCAAGCGGGAGTTGTAGATGATGTTTCACTATCTGCATCGCGAACTTCGGAGCTCGTGGGCAGCAAACGTGCTGCTTCGTCTAGGGTCGCAGACTCTTCCCTGTGAATACTATCATTTTTCGCCATAGTTTCCTAGCGCGCAAGCGGAACAAGTTTCGTCGGTTCGGGTCGGAGGCAGTGAAGTGCTGCACGCAGCAAAATGATGGCCAGTGAAGCCTGTATTCAATCACGATGTTTCTGGGGCATGGCCAAGGGGGAATCGAGAGATGGACGAGTCTTTGAAAGGATAATAAGAACTAGATTTTGCATGTCTCAGAAGTCAAAACAAGCGAGAGGGTTGTGTCGCTTGCAAGTTGCAACTGACATGAGATAAGTGTGACGAAGAAGGGATCTGGTCTGCTCTGGTCTGGTCTGGCGAGGATTAATAATGTATGATCTAGGCGCATTTGGGGAGCTCTCTTGCGGATACATGATGAGTCCAAGTGCTGGGATGGTGTTGTGGAGTCCAACATCCATGCTATCCACGTTGGGCCATGCCAATTGTCCCAGAGCTGGACGAAACACGATCGTTTTAAAACCTGATAAGCCATGAATGGGGCTTTTCCTTTTTACATTTGTCAATCTTTGAGTTGCTGTCGCCTCTATGCGTTAATGCCTTGGCGATTCTGATGCTCAATCACGTTATGCTGGCGCCATTGTCGGGCCCATCATACGGCATCACTCGATTCATGCCAGATTTGCTTCTCTGGCACCTTTGTCGAGATAGATAAATGAATGACGCATTCCCTGCGTCCCATGCATACCATGCAGGCTGGGATCTGGCAGTATCTGATAAGCTAACAGCTATCATGGGTGCTGGCGTGGCTCGTTGGTCTCTCGCTGGCTTGATCTGATAGGCTACTGTTCCTGAATCCTGAAAATGTGGCATCGAATCGCATCGGGTTTCGGGTTTTGATCCAACCGACTCCGCAAAGTCCGGGATCAACAGGAAACAAGCGCGCGCGGTATGGAAGAAGATCATATTATAAATCTGCCTGAGTCGATTGCCGCGTATTGCAAAGGTGCCTACAAACCTGATAGTCTACGCCTACTGTGATAGTGAGGGATTAGCTTGCTCACTGCTTTTAGCTCGGATTTGAGCTACCAAATATTCAGATAGAAAAGACGATAATCCTTTTCGGACTCTCTGTGTATTCCAGAGCCACTTACTGTTTATACCAGCTAACCTGAGTGACAAGTAGCTCTTCGTCCAACAGGTTTCATCGCTGGATGTCGAAAATTCGTACCTAGTCATTGACAAATACATAAAGAATTTGTCATCGGTTATCATGATTTCGGTCGAATAGACGTTGGAGCGACGCTGTTTGACGTCCTGATACACTGTCGCAGCCAGCTGGGGGAAATCATCATTGGATACTTGAGAGCGCAAAGCATCAATATTTCCAACTTTGACACTGAGATCCCCGCAAATGATACCGTTCTAAAAGGAACAGCTCAGATCCCCTAAGACGACACCATCAGTGGTGATAATTGCAATTCCCCTGGGGAAGAGTGATAGTTCGGCCTGCACACGAAGCAAGGAAGTATGAAAACTTAGGGCCTCTAGCCTGGGTGACAAAAGCACTTAGGCAAATATGCTGTATCTAAGTAGAGCTTCAGACCAGCTTATTCTGACACCCTCATTTGATGTTCGAAGTTTCATGTACCCCTGAGGAACAGGCTACTTCGCAACTGTGGGCCTTATACATAGAGCTTAACATTCATCCAATCACAACCCCAGTCAGCTGAGTCAGCAACAATTGCGCGCCGGAGATGGAACCTGGATATTTTCAAGAAGCGTGTTTCGCAGCTTAGCCCAGGCTCCATTGTATTCAACCATTATCAAAAGCGCCTCAGCCAACACCGCCGCAATGCCCGTCGTCAAAGGAGGCGTTTGGACCAACATTGAGGATGAAATCCTTAAGGCCTCTGTTTCCAAGTATGGCCTGAATCAATGGGCGCGTGTCTCATCGCTGCTGGCGCGCAAGACGCCCAAGCAGTGCAAAGCCAGATGGAACGAATGGCTCGACCCAAGCATCAAAAAGATCGAATGGAGCAAGGAGGAAGATGAAAGACTTCTCCATCTCGCCAAGATTATGCCCACTCAGTGGCGCACGATCGCTCCTATTGTCGGCCGAACAGCAAACCAATGCCTCGAACGATATCAGAAGCTCCTCGACGAAGCCGAAGCGAAGGAATCATCCAGTCTTGGACTAATGGGCCCAGATGGAGGCGAAACGCAAGCCCCCAGTGCCGATGATGTTCGAAGACTCCGACCGGGCGAGTTAGATCCCGATCCTGAGACTAAGCCTGCGCGACCCGACACCATCGATCTCGATGAGGACGAAAAGGAGATGTTGAGTGAGGCTCGAGCCCGCTTGGCCAATACACAGGGTAAAAAGGCCAAGAGAAAAGCTCGAGAGCGTCAACAAGAGGAGTCGCGACGTCTTGCTGCTCTGCAGAAGAGACGAGAGCTCAAGACAGCTGGAATTAATATCAAGGTCACATCCAGGAAAAAGGGCGAGATGGATTACAACGCCGATATTCCTTTCGAGAGAAAAGCGCTCCCCGGCTTCTACGACACAGCAGAGGAAATGGTGCAGAACGAGGCGCAACGCGCAGCTTTTGATCCTCGGAAACAACAGCTGGCCAACAAGCGCAAGGGCGAGGGCGAGGATGACAACGACCGGAAGCGAAAGAAGACCGACAAGGATGGGGCGTCGGAATCATACAAGGCGGCTCTGAAGGCTGGTCAACTACAGAAGATCCGAGAGGCTGAGCAAAGCAGCAAGCGTCGTGGCCTGGTTTTGCCCGCTCCCCAAGTCAGTGAGGGCGAGTTGGAGGATATCGTCAAGATGGGTAGAATGGGCGAGGCTGCCAATTTGAGGGCAAAGGAGAGTGAGAACGACGCTACTCGAGGACTTGTCAACACATATTCTACTCTGAACTCCGCTACCCCCATCCGAACACCAAAAGCCCCTGAACAAGAAGATCACATTGCCAACGAAATCCGAAATATTCGAGCGCTCAACGACACAAATTCTGTACTTCTCGGTGGCCAGAACGCCCCGCTTCATGAAGGCGCAGCCTCGACTGGTTTCGATGGTATCGCTCCTCGAAAGCAGACCATTTCTACGCCAAACCCATTGGCCACACCCCTGCGGGCAGATGGCGTGGGGGCCACGCCTGGTCGACCCGGACAAACGCCCATGAGAACACCCAGAGACACCCTGGCTTTGAACCAAGACGGGGGAATGTCGATGGTTTCGGCTACACCCAGAGACATTAGGATGAGAGATATGGCTTTGCGTACCCAGCTTAAGTCAGGTCTAGCCTCTCTTCCCAAACCGAAAGATACGGAATGGGAGTTCGATATTCCTGACGAAGAGAAGGAGGCTATGCAAGTGGATGAGATGACTGAGGAAGATGCTGCAGAGCGGGACCGCCGAGCACGTGAGAGGCAAGCAGCCGAAGAAGCCCTCGAATTTCGTAGGCGAACTCAAGTTATGCAGAAGAACCTCCCCAGGCCGGTTCAGATCGATCTGCCCAGTTTATTGAAACAGGCTGCCAGTATTTCAGATGTTGCTGAGTCTCTCATCGCTAAGGAGTCAGCGAACCTGATGGCGAATGATGCGATGAAATACCCTGTCCCTGGTGGCCAAGTAAGTGGCGCCCCTAAGCCTCTTCAACAAATCGACGACGATGCTCTCGCCGAGGCTCGCCTATTGATCATGTCCGAAACGAAACCCCTTCCCAAGTTCGAGGATATTCAGACTGCATTCGAAGCACGCGCAAGCAGCTCGCTACTCCTTGGTCTGGGCTGTTACAATGATGACGAGGAAGAGCAAGGGACGGTCATGAAGGTTGCGTTCGATGTAAGTTTTGATGAGTTGCATAAGTCGACCCTTATACTAACTGTTATCCAGGCTGTTCAAGACTCCATCATGGCTTCTGCTGAAGCAGGCGCTAAGCTAGAGAAGAAGCTATCACTTCACCTCGGCGGTTATCAGAAGCGACAGAAGATGCTTCGTGATAAGATGAGCGATGCTTCTGAGGCTTTGGAGAAGGCACGCATTGCGCTGACTGGTTTCAAGACGCTGGCTGTCTCGGAGGATGTGGCTGTTGAGCGAAGACTAAGCGCTCTACGCGAGGAAGTTGGTTTTGTTAACCGACGTGAGAGAGAAGCACAGGAGAGTTATAGAAATGCGAAGGAAGAGCTAGACGCTCTCATGGCATCTGGAGTTAACGGGGTTCATTAATTGATGTGTTAATAATGGTGTATAAATAGGGGCTCAATCGAGGCTACCATATCTGGGTCTAATCTAACAATCTGTCCGCTAGGCATTACGCTTGTATACTTACTATCTTATCCGTCCGTCCTTTTGATTCATCCTGACTTGATATATGTTTTCGAGTTTATTTGCGCTTTCGCACACCAAGACGGGGAAGCTTGATCGGCCAGATCATCACGACAGAGGCAAATGCAAACACGGCACAAGTGATGAATGTGAGCCGCAGCGCAGCTTCATAACTCACAATGACCTGTTCTCGGTACTTGGGCTCAAGCTTAGCCACCTCTTCAACCGACTCTCTCACACGACGAATAATCTCATCACGACCTTCTCCTGTGACGTACTGTCTGAGATAATGGAGCAGAGCGTTCTGGACAACAAGCGAGCTACTTGCAACGCCAAGTACCTGGCCGAGACTTCGCCACAGCATGAGTGTAGATGTCACAACAGCTTGCTCGGCTTGAGGAGATGCAGCCAATATCGCCATGAATGTTCCCGGGAATTGGAATCCCTGTCCAATCGATGAAGGGAGAAGGATGAAGAGATAAACCCAAGATGGGAGGTCACGCTGAAGAAAAACCAGGCCTATGGTGCCGATGAGTATGCAAATAGTACCACTTAAGACAGGCCACTTCAAGCGGCCAGTCCAAGTCACGGCAAAACCAACAAAAGTACCGGTTGAAGAGGCAGCGATTGTTGGAATAATGAGGCGGAGACCAGAAGAGGTGGCAGATGTGAGGAGGACAGCCTGAAAATATAGTGGACTGTATGATATGTTAGCAATAGAATACCAAAGAGCAGTATCAAGCTGCAGGAGATGATCCAGGCTGCTAGTAGGTAATTGAGAACACAGTAAGCAATGAAATACGGAACATGCTGCTGTGTATCAGAAACGAGGTGCCCACAAGGAGCGTCACGTCGCACGTCTATCAGCAACAGATATGCTACAGTCCCATGAAAGGCGCAAGTCTCTTATCATACAAAGGGGAATGACTTACATGTTGAATAGAATTGAGTTAGCGACAATAGCAGCAATAACATTCGAGAAAATCAGATTTCCGCGAGGCTGTCGGTTCAAGAGATGTAGGGGCATGATCGGTTTATGGACCCAGGACTCAACCCATAGGAACACGGGGAATGTGATGGCGAATATTACAAGACTTGCAATGACAAAAGGGTGTGACCCTGAAAGATGTTAGTTAGTCACCATCAGCGTGATTTTAGATATTGACTTACATGGAAGGACGTTGCCTCCAAGATTCAGGCCCAGAATCACAAATGTAATAGCGGTAGTCAAGAGCAACGAGCCTCTAATGTCGAATTCTTTAAGAGCCTGCCACACGCCCTTTCTTTCGCCCTGTATACCCAGATCATCTGGGATGGCAATCCATGCAACAACCATGCAGATCAATAGTGGCGGAATCTGAACTCCAAACTCCCATCTCCAGCCAAGATAATCAGCCATTGCGCCTCCTGCAGCGGCACCCAGACTTGAACCAACACCATAGTTCATGTTTATGTATGACTGATAGACGCCACGGTTCTCAATGGGCACAAGGTCCGACACAATGATCGAACCAATGGTCATGACACCACCAGCGCCGATTCCGCAAAAGGCTCGTCCGAGAATAAAGCTCTCGATGCTGTTTGCAAGAGCACACCATGTCGTTGCGGCTGCAAAGATGCCCAGTGCTCCTACAAAAAGCGGCTTTCGGCCTAGAGCATCAGAGAGCCGGCCTAGTAAAGGTTGGAAGGCAGATGAAGTGAGGAGGAAAGCCGTGGAAAGCCACGATGCGGAGTTTGAGGCGTTAAAGTATGATGTAATGACAGGATGTGATGAAGCCATGATTGTTCCATCAAAGCAAGATATGAAGTATGCTGTCAGAATCTGGGAGAAGATGAACCAGAAGCGGGTTGGAGATGTGTTATTGAGAAACGGTGTATCTATCTCCGTTACAGCAGAAGTTGTTGATCTTGCTGTGATAGAATGGCGTCGACTGTGACTTATAAGAGGAGTCTCTTCATGAGGACGCACATTATCCAAGTCCTCAGAGATCTGACTGTCATCTTCATCTTCACCTTCAGCCTCACTGATCACTCCCTCCTGCTCCTCATCGTGAAGGTAATGACTAGCCTTATAAGAAGAAGGTCTTAGCATTGCACTCTCTAATGATTCAGGCTGCAGGAAGTGAGCACCAGTCGTCAAAGATCTCGAAAGATTTTCGAATTCTGCTGGATCAACGACACTGCCGTCACTGTCACTACTCCGTACCGGAACAGGTACCGGAGCGGGAGCGGGAGCGGCACGGCCGGGGTCCGAGACCGGAGTCATCACGGCAAGTCTTGTTTTGAAACTGACGAAGAGGGAAAAGAAGAGAGGAAAGGATTGCAACGAAATAGAAGGATCTGACAGAAGCCTTTTAAGGAAATAGGTTGGGGGACCATGTAGAAAAGAGTGGAGTCTCACTGTCGTGATCGCAGACTTTGCGGCGGATACATCCAGGAAGTGGCCCCGCAAAGATCATCGGCATATTCCCGACTCGGGCTGCCTATAATAGATGCATTGTCAGTGGAGGATTAGAAATGCGGTATCTTCCACAAAAGGTTTCTCGGTGCGAGTGTAGATGTGAGTCAGGCAGAGGATTATGACTATCTCTGCCGGCCGTTATGCGGGACCATCACAGGAGGAGAGGAGTCACCTGCACGCGAGCAAGACTGCGGTGTGGAGGGGTCAGTTGGTGTTGGTGTTGTGGTTGTAGTCTAACGTTAGTAGTTGTAAGTCGGAATCTCCGCCAACTTCAATTAGATAGAGTTGCTAGTAAAATCTATTGCTAAGAGTGGTCAGTACTCTTCAACGAAAGGGTACCTATACAAAACACGCAACCGAACTCGTGAGAATAGTTATCATTTCTATAAACCAGTTAATAATCAACCCTCAGGTTTATTAGCTTATCTCAAGCCTCTCCCCCCTTCCACTTCCACTTCCCCTCCTTTCATTAACCCCGGCTTACAGCCACCCATGCTCATGTTCATGAACCACCCCAGACAGATGCAAATACCCACCATCTGCAAGTTGGACTGATCAATTACCGAAGCGGTCCAGCCGCCCCCCAAACACCCCAATGCAGTATGCAACCCAATCCTGCAGCTATTCTATCGTCTTGCTCTGAGACGCTGCAGCCACAAGAATGCCCGCTCCCGTAACGCCTCCATCGTGACACGGGCTGAGTACGACTCGTAACGGGCTCGCCTCGCCGAATCGTTCGCGCAGGAGCTCGTCCAAAAAGTCCTGGCAATCCTGCAGGTAATCCTGAAAGTGAACAATGCATCCCCCCGTGTAGCCTACACCGAGTTCGTAATCCCGATCCAATGCCTTTGACCCTTCACCTGGAACTTCTTCGGCCAATGTCAACAAAGCCAGTGTGGCTGCTGCTACAATACCAGCCGCCCGAACCTCAATGGCCTTGGCAATTCGATATACTGCCGTGGCAAGGTCCTCGGTCCACTCAAACGGCGGTGATCCTGTCGATTCGGGGAATTCTTGCTGTAGCATAGCGACAAGAGCCGAGGGTCGGAGGGGTTTGAAGTGACTCAAGAACGTTGTTGTAAGGCTGTGCTGTTGCAGAAGATTCTGAGGCAACGTTTCTGCAGCGATACCCAAGTGTTCCGTCAAGTAGTCGACCAGCATAATTCGCCCGAGTTCGCCCAGATAGCGGCCTGCCGTCATGAATTCGAGTGGCTGGAAGCCATTCAACTCACCTTGGATGTCCAATGTTTTGTCCCATTGGCTGATCAACCCAACTTCGTGTAAGGGAGGTGCAGTACCGTTGATGCTCCATTCAGTATTGATCGCAATCTTGACATCCTCTACCCTCTCCTCCGGTCGGGCAACAACGCTCTTTGGGCGTTTGGATGGGTTCAGCTGGCTCAGCTTCAATGGAATCGTTGCATTGCAGCCCGTTCCGAGAATGAGACCCATGGCGGCACGTCGATTCAAGGCTTCATCGAAGTTAAAGATGAATGAGACGAGCGTCGATACGGAGTCATTGGCAATTGCCTCGACTCGAATAGGAGGTAGCTCGTGTGACTTTGCACGATTGTATCCATCGGTGAGGCGGTCACCCAGATCCTGATCGGGGGAAATAGCGAATCCCTTACCCATTTGCATAAGTGTGGCTTGGGAGAGTGAGTGCTGCACCATGGGAAAGCTAAAGGTAACACCAAGAGGCAATGTTTGGCCGCTTTGTAGGTGCAGCGTATCGCATCCATCTTGGACCACCTCAGCAATGCATTTGCCAATCCAAAGGAAGAGACTGTCCGGGTTTTCGTTCTTGAGGTGTTCATCGATGGGCCAGGACTTCTCCAAAAGCCTCCTCACATGTCTCGTGGCAGAACCGTCATCGGAACCGTTAGTGATATGGCCATTGGCTTGGCCAGATGACGCGGCTTCGTTGCCGAGTTGGACGAAACCCACTCTCAAGTTTGTGCCGCCTCTATTCTCACGTTAGATACAAGAGAAAGTGAAACTCCAAGGCTAGTAACTGACATGTCTATGGCTAAGTGGCTACATAATGTCAGTCCAGCTTTTCTTTTCTTTTTTTGAGCCTTGAGTAAGAATATCTCACCAGCCTTGTTTTCGCTTCGCTTCTGGTCGTAAAATAGCTTCAGATATGGGCGTAGGTAAGAACTGGTTCTCGGAGCCAGCGGCAAGCTTCTCAAATGTCTTGAGAAACAGTTGGGATAGTCGATTAATCTTGTCAATATCGACAGATAAAGGTTCCAAGAACTCTTCGATCGATACAGGGGTTGCCATGATTCGAGTAAAGTCGCTGTAGGATATAAATAGTGGGTTTTTTATGAAGTTGATGTGAGGTAGTTCAGGGTATCATTCTAGACAATCTGATACCGGCATTGGGCACACGTAGATCGATTGGAAGTAGATCGCCAGTAGAAGGGTGCTAGGGTTTGCAGAATCGAGTAACGAATGTATCAGGGGCTCTTATAGGTAATGCTGGTGTGCTATGCAGGCTGTGAGTGTGAGAATGAATAAGTATGAATCGTAAGTCATGAGAAGGTGGAAGTTATTCACCTGTGTTGACGATCCAGCGCAGACGCTAGCGCAGAGAAGCTGCACCCTGATGCAATGACGTGGAACCACGATCTAAGTATATCTGGCCTTAGCGGTTATTTTTAACAATTAGACATTGGTGGCCGTAATCAATGATTAGTAGGTAGTTAGGTATCTATATCATATCATTGAACGCATCTCATCTCATGCATGCATGCACCAAGTAAGGAATTGATCAAGAGATTCACACGCGATTTTCTGCGGGGTCAAATATCAGCCTTTCTGTGCCCCGCCGGTTACCCCTGAAACGGTTGACTTACAGCAGCACTTCTCACTATCAAAGATGCACTGATGATCGTGAAGGTCCGACTTGAGGCACATTTCGAAATTGGAAATTTGAGTATGAAATATAAATATCAGGAATACCTCACTCTCTTGATAATGCAGGAGGCGTTAGACAGCGTATATAAGTATCAGTATGGAAACATTAGGTATGAATCACCGAAGCTCATGTCCCAAAACGGTTTCCCTAACCAAATTCGGATAAACAATGCTGCCGCATGTGAATGTGACGCGCATTCAGCTGCCCATAACGACATATCCTCCACCTAACATCCCCGGATTCTCTACCTGAGTAGTATACTTAATTATCACCACTTCATTTATAATGGATGAGAAACGCCCTGCGTCACGAGCCATGTCGCCGCCCCGTTCTCTCCGTCGCAGTCGACCTGCCCTCACAATAGCCTTCGTAATAGCTGTCGTTTATACATTCTGGATATGGCAGCCTTTCAACCCTATACTTGACCAAACGATGGTCGCCATCACGAGCGACGATGTTCACACTACCGATAAACTTGTGCCACTGGAGGCACACATCATGAGTAAATGTCCCGACGCAAAGGTAAACATCTACCCATCTATGTGCAGGATAGCATATGCTCAATATTTCCAGGAGGGACTTGAACTACTAGTACTACCCGTGATGCAACGCGTTCATGATAAGGTCAACTTCACATTATCTTACATTGGCCGGTATGTCGATACACAACTCTGTTCTAATACGAGACTAAAATTCGGTTCCATAGGCCAACTGCCAACGACGGTGTCGACTGCATGCATGGCCCTTCAGAATGCATGGGCAACATCATCGAGCTCTGCGCCCGCGAACTCTACCCCGATCCCAAGATCAACCTCGGCTTCATCATGTGTCTGAGCCGCGACTACAGCGAAATCCCCGAACGGTCCCTCGTCGAAGACTGTGCTCTTGAGTCCGCGATCGATTTCCAGCAACTCAACGACTGCGCTGTAAAGGAGGACGGCGCCTATGGCTTAAGCCTCCTCCGGGATAGCATCAAGAGAACTGCAGATGTATGCCAAACTCATCTGGAATACCATACCGTGCTAATATGATCGATAGGCTGGTGTGACAAAGAGCGCCACTATTCGTCTCGATAACAAAATCTACTGCATCCGCGACGGTGGCGAGTGGACCGACTGTCCCAACGGTTCTGGTGTCAACGACCTAATTATTGCGATCGAGAAGCTACGCCACTAGACTTGAGTGGCTCGAAAATCTCGGTCCATAACTCACTTGCCTCTCCTAGCGTATAGCTCATAGCAATGCCATCCATACCCGCCTCGTCGTCTCCCGCCATTGCGCCCAGCGTTTCCATGATATTCTCGAGTCCGACTGCCTTGCCCGTCGCCTGAGTGGCCCCCGCTTCGAGCTGGACATGAACAATATGAATGTGGAAGTGGTAATATGTGGGCTGGTAGTGCACATAGAGTTTCAGTTGGTCCGGCTCGATCGATGGATACGTCTTGACAGTGGCATCGATAAGATGGGTCTTCATGTGCTGCAGCCAGGGGATGTGCTTCTTGCGAAGGTCTCTTAGCGACCAGATATCCCGTCGTTCGACCAGCGCCAGTAGGTGCAGCGCATCAAGCGTCTTGCGGTCCCAGTTGAGGTCTGGCAGCATGAGGAAACCCTCATCGCCAGCCTCACCAAGTTTCGTTCTGTAGATGACATCTTCCACCTCCTTGCGTCCTTCAATAATGTTAAATACCCAATTGAGTCGTCCTTCCTCCCTCTTGCTGAGCATATACGGTCGAATGTGGTCTCTGTAAACATCTGGTGTCTCCGTTACGAACCGAACACCCTGCTTGCTGTACTTCTTGACGTGCGTTTCGGTACATGGGTAAATCAGGTTGATTTTGAGATCGGCGAAGAAGTCGGCGTCGTCAGGCTTGGTCGTCTCAGTGCCGCTACGGCCCATGAACCAGTGGTAGATATCATTTGCGCCCAGATTCTGAATCCGCGTGAGCTGAGCGGGAACATCGGTGAGGTAGGTCTGTGAGGTTGGGAAGGGAGCCCGTTCCAGGATCAGTAGAGCTGGCTGGTCGTCGATAGAACCATAGAGGGAGATGCGACGTCCTGCTTGATCTTGGTTGAGGACGCGATCGAGCTTGAATCTGGGCACTAAGGCCTCCGCCTTTGCTTTGGCATCGGTCATCGTTGCTTTGAGATCTGGAAAAGACTTGGCTGTGGTCTACAAGTTCAGAAAGGGATCTGCTTCAGAACTCTGCCCCTCTTTAGCAGTAGAGGAATTGACGGGAGGGAACACCCCACGGTGGGGCTTCTGTTGACACCACTCCACAGCGGCGGTAGACAGAGGAACCCACATTCCATGAGATCTTAAACATGGATGGACCCTAGATCGCTTATTAGCCGGCAGGCTTGTGGCATTTAACTGGAATTCTACTTCTAACTTCACTGCTTAAAAAGAACGAGTAGTGTGTATATCATCAGAAATAATGAACTTGTTTGCAGTATCGCTAAAAAGTCGTTAGGCGTCGTAGCCGCCCATGAAGAAGGTGCTCTATCTATGGTAGTGAGTGTTTATTTATTTAACATCATCATAAGAAGCCTTGAAGGCGTAAGGAACGTGGTGCGGCTACTTCATCTTGCCGTCCTCATCTCTCCTCTCATCCCCTTGGTTCCCCCATGCATTACGTGCACTGTGTCCTCAATTCTGCAAAACAGCAATCCTGGGTGGTTCGCACCGGGTATATAATTCAGCGCTAGAATTGAAAGTATGGACCTGAGTCCTAAGTTCGTCATAATCTCAAAGGTCAAAGACGAATAACGGCGTGGTACAGATGGTTGGTGAGTTGATCGGGATCGGGATATCTCCGAACGGCGGAGCGTGGTAAGTGATATTCATATTGAACGTGCCAAGATATCGAATGAAGTTTGTGCTGCAGATGCCAACAGGGTATGAAGCCAGAACGCCATAGCCATTAAACCAATGCACCGATAACGTGTACCTTCCATGGCCGTATTCAAGTTAAGGTGTCGTGACTGTATTAATCATGAGAATGATGAGTGAGCATTGAAGCCATTGGAACCGGTTTCCGTTGATCCATCACCCTCAATTGTCTTCCTCCAGTGTTCGGGGCGACACACACAAACCAGAGGGAATGCTTTTATTTCGCCCTCTGCGGCAGGGGAGCTATCGCGGCGTCCCGACGCGTTCGAGACGCCACTATCGCGCTGAGCTTGTCGTCGAGCCTCCCACTCATCTGCCCGCTCGTTGAGCATTACACCTGTTGCCCAACCATCGTCCCATATGCCCACAACCTTGAGCATATCTCCTCGTTCCAAGGCGAATTCGTCGGTTGCCCGTGGTTGATAAGCCCAAAGAACAGCTATTCGGTCACCGGGGTGAATGTCGTCTTGAGAGTAGTAGTCCTTGAAAAATGGCAACTGCTCGGATTGTTGGCTAGCGACGCCTTGAGGCGATGAGAATCCCCCAGCACTAGATGGGGACTGCGGTACAGAGCTGCCAAGGGCCGAACTACTTGAGAGTGAGCCATGTCGTCGAGGTTTGGTCGGTGGTGGGCGAAGGACTCCGCCACGCGTTTCTGACGAGGGTGGGCTTGACGTGAACTCGTCAGAAGATGAATGATCCCTGCGTGGATATACGCCTACAGCACCAATACCACCGGCGGCTGATGAAGTGTCGCGATGATGAGAAGGTGAATCGCCAGAATGACCTTCGAGAGCAGACATCCGTGCTATACGTCCACCAGGAAGAACTTCGTATCCCTGAGGGGCGGCTGGGGGTGCTGCTTGAGCCATAGTTGTTCCACCTTGTCGGGCCGGCGAAGGTTGGTTAAAAATGCTTCCCTTGGGACTGCTCGGTCGTCGTCTCCTTCTGAGGCACAACAGGAGGCCAAGGGCAAGCAAACCGAGACCGGCAAGAACGCCAATAACGATACCAGCAATTGCTCCGCCGCTTAGACCTCCTCCTGCTCCTCCTTCATCGTCATCGTCGTCGGAGTTGTGACTTCCGCTGCCTGCAGTGCTTGATCCAGTAGCTGAAGATGTTGGTGATACTCGGGTAAATGTCATGGTGGCGGTCAAAGTCGGTAATGTGACATCTTTGCATCGATCCTCGGCATTTGAGTTGTAACAGCAGGTGTCGGTCGAGTTAAGACCGCCTGAACCACAATAGGTACAGAGTCCCACGGTGCTGTTGCCGTAGCCACAGTTCTGTGACTCGTTCTCGATTGCTGGAATACATGTCTTACTGTCCAGGGAGCCACCAGGAAGGGCACAGTTCGTGAAGTCTGCTCTAATCAGTTGAAGCAGACTGCTTGACGGGTTCGAACAGAGCTCGTCGTCTGATGTTATATAAGCCTCGCTTTGGGCATACTCAGCACAACTGTCAGCGCAGAGAGGTCGTGACTGCGATGCTGACAGGCCACAGGGCTCAATGGAGTTCTGGACAATGGAATTGCATAACACGGTCGTGGTGAAGCGCGCATACAAGTCGCTGGTGTTAGTCAAGTCAAGATTGCTACATCCGAACAAGGATTGATATCTACGAGTGGTTAGAATTGCTCAAAAATGTTGCTCGTTGGCTGACTTACTGCCTCTGAACGTAATCTCTCTGCACATAGTTCGAAAGTTGGCTATCGAAAGATGCTCTGTCGGAAACATATCGCAAGAAGGGGCTGTTTATGAAGTTAGCAAGATTGAGAGGTCACCAGACAAGAGGACTCACAAGAACTCAAGCAGGCTATCTCCAGTAGAGATGGATGCGGATGTGAATGCTGGGCAAGCTTTTGAATCCTTTAAAGATATACAGTTCGAGTTTTGAGCCGAAACAACCATTGGTGATGCAGAAAGTAAGCCAAGAATGACACTCTTAGGGGTGACATAGGTCCGCGACTGACGAGCCCTCGAAGGGACCGTGTCTTGCTTGAGCGCGGCCATCTGCAAAGTTGGGTTGGAGGACAAAGTTCGACAAGCTGATGCAGAAATCGGTGATGTCTTAAGCTTCAATAACACCTAGGTCATGGTCGTCGGGATAAGAGCTCTGGATGATTTGCCTGATTCGTCAAAGAGTTGTTGTCGAAAGTGGTCTGGAGTGGTCGATGCAAAGATCGACGGAGAGATGTTGGGCGGTTAATAATCGTAGCCAAAAACTGCTCTCCTGAGCAAACAAAGTGAGTGAATGTGTGATTAGTTTAGATTGAAGAAGTTGAATTGTCGGAGCGCAATCGATTTCGTGACGTTCTCAAACGATGGTAACAGTTGGTGAAAGATTAAATTACGATTAATTTTCCACAGGTGGAAAGAGCGAATGTCGTAAACGAATTAAAGAAGGTGAGATGGTCCTCGAGAAACAGTCCCTTTCGAGAGAAAACGGACGTGGCAGTTCGTTCCTTTCGATTGTCGTTCAGCCTCGAGTTGATTGAGCGGGTGCAATTGAGGGCAAACCAGGTGATGCTACGCACACTGGCTGGGCACAGGTGGGGGGAGGAGGAAGGGGGAGAAGAAAGAGAAGAAGAAATTCGACTCGAGCGAAGAGATCCCAGCGACTTCAGACCCGGCAGCGGACGCGACGGATGGTGGTTGAAGATTGACCCTGGCTGGGATATTAGGGGGTGCGTCAAGGCAGTGCAAACCGCCTGGGGGTCCGGTGAGAGAAGGATGACACGGGTGCGCAGCGCAGTGGGAGCGAGAGAAGAGAGAGAGGTAGAGAAGGAAGCAGGGATTTAGAGAAACATGAAGGACCTGAGGATGATCAGAGTGGGCGAAAGTCGTGCCGGCGCCTGGTGTTTGGACCCCATGCTCCTAGCCAAACAAAACTGACTGGAGGGAAATGGAGATAGCCAGGGTGAGTCGGGTGGTTCTAGGCCCAGAAAGGAATACCTAGGCAAGGGCCAGCTGGGATAACGGCCAATTCTCAGATGTATTTTTGCTCCAAGATTGTATGATTCAGATACCTTCTCTTCTCAGCTAGCCTGCACTTGTTTAATCTTGGGGAACAAGGATCCAACGGAAGCCGGGCAGGGTCATTAGCGCCATTATAGCCATCCACCACTTAAACAGCGCCTTCCATGGCCTTTCCGGGCCGCTATTTATCGCTACATGACCCCATAAACCTAGCATCAGCACCACGTTGCTGGGTCTCCATAACTTTGTTAGCGAGACTTTGCATTGAATCTTTGGTTGATGATAGTTATGTATGTTCAACAATGATTCTGTTTTCAAGACACAAACACGGACACAGGCATAGAGCATAACGCTCACACAGATTGTTGCGGTCAATGCAATCTGCAAGGAGGGACTCCTCCAAAAGTTAGTCGCCTCCAAGGACAGCATCTCGTCTGCAAGTCATCGTCATTCCCTCCCCCTCACATCAGATCTTGACCCATTTGTATCTCGACTCAGATCCAACTTTGCCTTCCCTATTCCCAATTGCGTTTGACTCCACGTGCACTAGTCAGACTCAGAATTTATGAAACTTCTAGCCCAGTCGGATCTCATGGACACAACGTTAGCCTCCAGGACATCGAGTCAATCGACCTCCTTGCGTTAATGACTCTCTGTTGCACGACCATGCACAACAGCAAAAACAAGTTTTTTTGTTACTTCCTTTCTGATTTGCCGTGGTTGCGCTTTCTACCGCCGCTCTTCATATGTTTATTGTCACACACATGATGAACGGAGAATGCACTCAGCGTTGCGCGCAAAGTGGAAAACAAAAAGCTTGTGAGAGAAAACGCGCAAGTCTCGGCGATTGCTGGTGAGTATACGCAACCACAAATGGAAACGTTTGTCCAAAAATGGTTCAAGAGAAAAGAAACACATCGGATGCAACCCTCTCACCGTTCTGCCGTGCAGCCACTCCAATCTTGACCCGTCAATGTGAACTGTCAGTTCTTGAGCGACTGTCTGAGACGTGCCCCGGCTTAGTAAATAATTTTTACTTTTTTTAGAGATTACATTTTGAACATCTGCTTTGTCACAACTCTGGCCAACTGTTCACGTCGGTAATATATCTCATACACACATTTTTATTGCGGTATTTTAGGGACGAGTGCTTCCCTTTCTATTACCTTGTGTACCTAGCTGGCCCAGTAGCTTTTGTCAACGTCGCATCGCCGCACAGCGTAACATTATAACCTCCTTGTGCCTCTTGCGTTCTCTAGCGGACACCCTGCCAGATGTCATGGATTGTTTCCGTATTAGGAGATTTTCCAGTAATTGCAATGGTAATGCCGATATGCATAAAGTGGGTGTTTTGCATCATGATTGATATTGAAACATACAGCACAATGCCGTTGAGATTGATACTCGGGAAATGTAACAGAATTCTTGGCCCCTGAAGCTCATGATAAATTTCTGACCTTGAAATTTTGAATGCCTCGCAATCCCAACTTTATCCAGTATCGAAGTGTCAGAAGCTATATCTAAGCAAGTACTCCGTATCAGTGGATAATTTTATACATAAAAATGTCGGTACGTTACACATAACAAGCTCGGGTTCCTGCAGATTAATTTCCAGCCCTTGTCTAATCCCTGCTCTCGCTGGAAGCGCGTTTCGCCTGGACAAGGAACATCACGAACCGCTTTATCATGTCACGATGTGACTCTGTTTTCCGCTGCTTTGGGGGAGTATTTGTCGAAACGAGGATGCGCTATCGCTGTCTAAAAGCCACTACCGGTCAAGCGAAGTGAGCTGCTTGGTATTGTGTCGATCAACAAACTGTTATCGGCACACAGAACGGAGTAAAGTACAGGATGAATGTGAGACACGATATGATTGAAAATATTCGTCTTTGGCGAATACACCTGGATCAATGTACTTGATGTCGGTCAATGCTTGCCCGTCCTGACGATTTCTACTTAAGTGGATCGGATTGGTCAAGTGCTTGGACCTGGAGATTAATTGTTAAGGTGAGTTTGACGAGCCAATCGCGTCGTATGTTGCAAGACATCATTGTTAGAGTCGGCAGTCCATTGTCAGTAATTACCTGAGCAGATTCAGATAGTATTCTACGTATCTTTCCCGCAATTTCTCAACAGGATCTACATTGTGTTCTTGGCCCAGATGACAAGAGAATAGGTCTTCCAAGCGTGAATACGGTGAAGAAGCTTGTAATTTGGTTGCTGCAAAATGGCTACCCTAAACACTAATTTGTATGTATCATTATTTTAACTTCATATACCACTCGGTCAGGCACTCGACACTTGTACCGAGACAATTTACAAGCTCTATCAGCAAAGAATCAGAACACATTTGCACGAGAACATACCCGATATCTGCGTATACATCATATAGGCGCAAGTCAACCCAAGCTACGCCGTTTACCGCTGCCGAATTGATAGTATGAGCCGAGGCATATGCGGGACTAGTTTGCATGCATTATTAATACGCGATTACTACCTACTGAGATGTTCGGTCCAAGAATAACTACACAACATCTCTAGGCATACAACATGACACTCAAGGAGACGACAAAGCTTTTCACTCCCGTCAAAGTGGGAAAAGTCGAGCTTCAGCACCGAGTGGTGCTTGCTCCTTTGACACGACGACGTGCAGATGAGACCACAGCGGTCCCGGCGCCCTATGCGGCAGAATATTATGCTCAAAGGGCATCTGCTGGTGGTCTACTCATCTCTGAAGGCACCTTCATCGCTCATGAGGCCGGTGGAATGTCGCGTGTACCTGGTCTCTATTCTCAAGAGCAGATAGCAGCATGGAAGACGATAACGGATGCTGTACATGCCAAAGGAGGGCTTATATTCTGTCAGCTCTGGGCCCTAGGGTAATGACATCGACATCTAATATGCGTTTATTGAGGCTGGATACTGACCGTGACCTGTAGCCGAGTTGCGAACCTGAGGATTGTTCCTCATGTCTGGAGCGCCGGTTCTGTGCCCTTCGATGCGAAGGGTACTGGGTCGGCTGAGCCGCCCGCTAACTTCACAGTGATGACTGAATCTGATATCGATAGATTCGTGGGACATTACCGACAAGCTGCTCTCAATGCCATCGAGGCAGGCTTTGACGGAGTTGAAATTCATGGAGCAAATGGATATGTGAGTCCCTCAGGCTACAAAGCGATGTTCGCGCAGCTAACTTTCCCTATAGCTTATTGACCAATTCGTGAGTTCAATACTCTCTCCCGAAAACCGCCACTGAAACCTTTATAGCTGCAAACCAACAGTAATAACCGCACGGATTCGTACGGAGGTACTCTCGAAAATCGTTTCCGCTTTCCATTGAATGTCCTCAACGCTGTCTGCGAGGCCATCGGCCCTGATCGCGTTGGAATTCGCATGAGCCCCTTTTCGAGATTTCAAGGCATGCGTGAGACCGAACCTCTTGCTGTCTTCGCCCCATGGGCTGAAGCCATCATCAAAGCCCAGCCATCTCTGGCATTCATCCATGCAGTTGAACCTAGGATCGCAGGAGGAAGTGATTCTCCTGACAAAATCTTGGAAGAGAACGAAAATCTCACTCCCATTCGGAAAATTGTTGGCAGTTCAGAGATCAAGTTCATTGTTGCAGGAGGTTATACACCTGAAACTGCAGTTATGCATGCAGCTCAGACTGATGACCTTGTAGCTTTTGGACGTTTCTTCATTCGTAAGTTAGATGATCAAATTTCCCCCAAAAATGTACTGAACTAGCAACAGCAAACCCCGATCTACCAGCCCGAATTCAGAATGGCTGGCCGCTGACGAAGTATGATCGTTCGCTATTCTACACGCCGGATGAACACGGCTACACCGAGTAAGTTTGAGTCCTCGCTGACTGAATTTGCTGACCATACCATGCAGCTATCCAGCTTACAAGCCGGATGCATCAAGACTTTGACGCGGGATGGTGGAAACCCGCCAGGACGATTGACGTTGCTGGGCTCCAAAACTGAGCACAAAATAGACCTGGAATATGATTAGAGTCTTAGAAGAGCATGTACCCGTGTGTTGATTACGCACAAGTGTACCTCGATCAAACTGTTTAGCCAGCTCAGATGTCAATTATCATGAATTAGTTCTCGTTGGGTTTGCTGCACATCAGATGCCTGTTCTGGCTCCTTTTTGCTAGTGGCGGTGGACTCGCTTGAGCTGAGGACCATAGAAACTTGATATGCCAATAGTGTACGTGGAATCGACGTTTGCTTGAAAGGCCTACTCATGCAATCAGTTAGAAGTCCTTTACTGTGATGTATCACGAGGCACTTTAGAGCCATGGACACCCCAGAATAAAACACCTGTAGGAAAGGGGAATAACTTACACAGTCATACCATGTTCGCTGTCGAGTTGCTGTTCATCTCCAGGCAGAAGCTCGACGAGAACGTTGTTGGGGGTGTGATATGATGCCAACCCCATTCTTGCCATTGCTGCCCCCTCATCAGCAATGACATTGCCTATGGCTTTGCCCCGTGGGACCCAGTGCAACTCGACCATTGCTCCAACTTCTCGAAGTCCATCTATCATGACACAGACTTTCTCTATTGTTCGTTTTCTGATCCCCTTTTTGGTGTTAGGATTGCTGACTTGTGCATTTCCGTGAGGTTCAGTGGTAACCATGGGTCTATTCGTCACCCTTAGGAGATTCAAGGCGGATTGACTGTCGGTGAAAACTTCGACGGATCGTAAAGGATTGACGTTTTCATTCTGCATTTTGGTGACTTGCACCGCATAATCCAGCGCAAGACAAATAGCCTCAAGTTCTGCAACCTCCGTAGAAGTGCCGCGTCCTTTTGCAGTAACGCGAACCCAGTTAGAGCCAGTTAGAAATGCCATGGAAAAGCCAGAAGAGTTCTTCGTGTTCGAAGCATCGGCCCAGATAACCAATCGAGAGCCATCGCTGGACACACCAGCGACACTTTGAGCTCTCGTCACAGCCACCGCAGTAGATTCGACAAAGATACTGGTCAACGGCCCAAGCTGATGGCACGAGCTGCTAATCTTGAGCTTCTTCTTTTTTGGCCTCGTGATCCTTTTCTTGCGTACTAGTAGCTCAGTAGTAGTCGTAGGTGTTGCAATCCTAGATGGCGGCTCCTCATTCCATGCCTCGCACGCTGCAAGCCATGATCTCTTTGACCTATCGAGGAGGTCCTGGACCTTTTCATAAAGGTTCAAAATGGTGTCTGGGACGTAGGGCATTTTGTTTGCCTGAAGGAAGCGGCAGCGCGATGAGTGATGACGAGGATGGAAGGATGATGCAAGATGAAAGGATAAACAACAAATGGAAGCATAAGGTGGAGAGGAGATGAGTAAGGATGCGGCAGTGCCTAAAAGCCTCTGAATCAGAGAGGCAGTGCGTGAGAATGTTTCAAGTTACTGGCAAGTGCCTCTCAGTGGCAGAAAAAGGATAAAAATGTCAACGGCGTTAGGCGTCACCCACACGCAGTCTGAAGACTGGATGCTACGACTTGCGAGAAAATTAAAAGAGGGATGAGAGATAAGGGCAAAGATGTAAGAGACGAGAGCTTGAAGCGCGGGCGAGTTATATAATGCTAGACGGGCAAAGACCTGAATGTGATAAAAGCCTATTTAGTTTACCTGCTACTGTACAGCGCCTATCAGTCGAGTTAAACAAAACGGTGGGAGATGTGATTCTCATGTATACTACTGAGGTAGATAGCTACTAGACTTATTACTGCTAGAATACCTTGCCTTAAATTTCTGCGTATAGCCCGGCATATGCAAACAAAAATAGAGTATACCTAGGAACCAGCACAAACCGACTCAATGAGGCTTCGATAGTAGTTAGGTACCTAAGTTAAGAAGGCTAGAAGAAGACCAAGAAAATAAATACCTAATCTAATTCTCCTCAACGTCCTGGCCTCCTAACTGAGTGTCTTGAGAACGTAGGTCATCAAGTTCATCCGTAACTACAGTTTTGAGGAGAGGACGTCGGGTGTAATTTTCAGTCCCTAGTTTTTCATTTCAATGCGGCAGCTGTATAAGGTACAGAACTGATTCGTGGGACTCGTAGGATACCTAACTAAACACGAAAGTTGGTCAAGGTAGCTAGATCTGAGGTTCCTATGATCGCCACAGCTGACCATCATAGCTCCAGAACTTAGTCTTCGAAGATGCAGCGGAGGCGACGTACGGATGCCTCAGTGTTTACAAGACATAAAATACTCCTGGAGGGAGCGGAAGGTTGTAATATAAGGCATCTCGTCATGAAATGATGGCAGTACGTACCCTGTAACACCCATGTCGCTTTTCTTCTTGATACCAGTCAGGGGTTTCGTCAATGTTCCCAAATTGCCATGTACCTTCGCCAACAATAGTTGATCTCGCTGGCCCTCCAGCTGGAAGTTGAACTTGGGGATGGGGGGCGATAGGGCTGAAGCAGGGGCCTGGGTAACATAGAAAAGCTTGGCGCGTTTGGCTTCGGACGATGAAACCCTATTATCGTATTGCCATCAGATAAGGTTGAGATTCATTCACGTTACTTATATATAGGTACATACATACACTGATGCTGGCCCTAGACGAATATGAGTTGATAGAACATGAAAAACTTCCGGAGCTCAGAAAGGCTACTGCATACCTATCTCCAGTTCTAACCATGCACGATTCTTTGAGGGACGGTGTTAATATCACAAAACCCCGATCGATGACACCTCCAGTCTCACCAACCAGAACGATAAAAGCATGCATTAAATGGCTTATCTATTGAGAGGTGATATTGGATAAGAGGTAAATAGAGTCTATTTTGCCTGGAGGGAAAAAAAGCTAATGTGTTATTTTTACCGAGTCGCCTTGAGCTATCTCACCGAATGGCGAGAAAGTTGATGGTTTCAAATCAATCAATGAATCAGAATATCCAAAACCCACCCTCGGTCTAGTCTACCTAGTGTGAAATATTTCTTAGTTTCAGCCTTAAGTGTAAGTTCACCAATCATATCCTTTTCGCTCCTCTCGCGCTCAAGTCAACCTCCGACATGCCGTCTAAAACATTGCCCAAAGAGGAAACGGGGCAACTGCGATCTGCCGCTCCATCTGCTGATTCGGGGTGCCGATGACCGATACCGAGTGTCTGGTTCAGTGTTGCTGAAGAAAGAGCATTCCCAAAGGGGTACGTATATAGACTACATCCTCCCGTTTGTGAGATGATTTGTTTCCAACTTGATCAAGGTGCTCTTACGTCCATCATTTTGAGCTTCCCGTTCTGACAACAGGGTACATTCGATTGGTTCAACACCTGCTGCTCTTATAGGTCATCGACATAAACACAGCATTTCTCCATCAAGATGTCAGGCGAGACACCTCCCCAAGGGCCTCCCTATCTCCCCAGGACAGCTGGTCTCGGCGGCAGACCTACGCCCAGCGTCGACGATCCCATCAGTGCTGTTATGTTGGCTTTCTTCGTCGGCGGTGCCATCCTCAACATGACTATCTTTCAGCTGAACAAAAAGCGATCCCACAAATTCGTCCTCAGCGGTTTGCTTTTCGGCTTTTGCATGGCCCGTATCACCGCGAACGTGTTGAGAATCGCATGGGCTTCGAACCCGCGTGACACTAGTCTTGCTATCGCTGCCCAGGTGTTTGCAAACGCAGGCGTTGTGCTCTTGTTCGTTGTGAATCTGATCTTTGCCCAGCGCATCTTGAGGGCATATCATCCACAAATTGGATGGAGCAGACCTGCTTCGTTGGGTTTCAAGTTCTTGTACTTTTCCATCCTTGCAAGTCTTGTTATGCTTATTGCAGCTGTGGTGTATAACTTCTACACCTTGAACCCACATACGAAGCAGCAGCTTCGCGACGTTCAACTCACTGGCAGCACGTTTCTCGCCATTCTCGCTTTTCTTCCATTGCCCATTGTTGGAGCGTGCTTCGTTATCCCCCGAAGAGCACCAATGGACAAATTCGGACAAGGGCGCATGCGGACAAAAATCCAGCTTCTTATCTTCACAACTACGCTGCTCTCTCTCGGTGCTGCTTTCAGGACTGGAGTATCCTTCAAGCTGCGGCCTGCGAACGATCCAGCTTGGTATCACAGCAAAGCATGTTACTACTGCTTCAACTACGTCATCGAGATCATCGTCGTCTTTTCCTACGCTCTCTCACGATTCGATCGACGCTTCCACATTCCCGACGGCAGCAATGCCCCCGGTGATTACTCTGGTCGCAATACAAAGACCCAAGAGCGTATGTACCGTGTTAATACTGAAGAGGAAGTCTTTGGCGATGACGAGCGACCGCGAACAGCTGAGCAGCGCCAACAGCAGCAGCAAAACTGGGAGGCAGGTCTAAAGGAAGAGGTCAAGGAAGAGACCGTTTGATGTCAACCACCGTGTTACACGGCTGTACTGTTTGTAATAGCCAATTGCGGGCGTACAAAGAATGGATATGGATTCTGTGCGACGGTCTTCGCCCCTCGACACAAGCTCTTCTGTGCAAGATATTATGGAGAGGGGGGGTGGCGTGTGCATCACAAGACATGGAAAAGTCTGATATATCTTTGAACATCATGACTGATCCTGGACGAGTGTTATGTAGTACCCAGAGTCAGCTTTGTTAGAGATTAGTCTAGACATATTAATGTAGTCGAGATAATTCAACTTGTGGAAATTCTTGGTCAGAAAATACTGGTTCATTTCAACATATCAACATAAAGCATCCAAGTGATGGCCGTCATTTGCTACCATCACTTCCTTCGTGCGAGGCCTCAGGAGGGGAGTATTATTCACTAATGACGTGAGGAAATCGGCTCTTCAATCGCTTCACTGCTCATATCATGAGGACAGACAGACAATTTTTGGTCATGCATGCGTGTTTCTTTCTCTTACAGCGCGTAACTCAAATATGCGTATCTAAGCAGCCATGAGGTGGGCGCCGCAATCAAGTCTACCAACCCTTCCCTGCACGTACCTCCAAAGTTACGGTCGTTTTGCAACATTCGGAAGCTCTCCATTGGCAAAGATGTAATATTCGTGCAATCCATGCTCCATGAAGTTCTGTTTTCGTTCGAGGAATTCGTCGTGGAATCGTACACGGTCGAGCTGCAAAGGACTTAAGGCTGGCGTGGATACCCCAGGCATGGCACTTCGACATTTGACTCGAGCTTTGTAGAACGTGGGTATACGTAACGAGACTAGAGGAAGTAGTCCGGAGTCCCTAGTCATAGTGTTAGTTGAGTCCTTGTAACTGTTTGTGGGTGACACATACGCCTTGAGACCATAGGCTCGCCAGCTCTGGGGCATGGATCAAATTGCAAGCTGGTTGTGGTCAGTTCGTGTATTTGACTTTGAGAGTGGATCGACTCACAAGGTGTACTTCAGGTGCTCATCAATCTCCATGATAGCAGCTTGGTTACCGCATCGGTAGCAGTAGTTGGGTGCTGTAGTGATGTTAATGCTGTACAGAAGCGTTGCGTCTCGCGTGCTGAGCGTACCTGAGAAAATAGTAACAACATTTCGGTCTTGAGACCAGTTGTAACCCTCCATAACAAGCTGATGGGCGCGAGCAATCAAGGTCAAGCCATTGTTGTGGTTGAAAGCTTCTGAAATGTCCTGTCCGAATGTGTACCCCGCACCTCGAGGAGAGATTCCCCAGCCGCATCGGTCGTCAGGGTCTGACCAGAGAAGATCACACATGGGACCCTCGTGAGGAACTTCCTGAATACGATCAAGAGCTCGGATGTTATCCAGAGTATCAATGCTTGGGGAGAGGCCGCCATGAAGACAGAAGATTTGGTTGTCGATCAGGGCAGTGAGGGGGAGGTAGTCAAAGAGGTCGGTAAAATACTTCCAGACATTAGCGTTTCCATATTTACGGAGGCATTCGTCGTAGAAACCGTAGACCTGAGTGATCTGACGGGACTCGTGGTTTCCTCGGAGGATTGTGATTCGTTGAGGGTATCGGATCTTGAGGGCGACAAGAAGGGTGACTGTCTCAACAGAGTAGTAGCCTCGGTCAACGTAGTCACCTATGGGGAGTAAGTATCGACTTCGTGAGGCTGAAAGATGATTGAAGCGTACCCATGAATAGGTAGTTGGTATCGGGGTTAGGACCGCCAATCTTGAAGAGCTCCATCAAGTCGTGGAATTGACCGTGGATATCACCACAGACGGTAACGGGACATTTCTGGCGATTTGGTGTCAGCTCAAGCACTTAGCTTGCCAGCGCATGTTGTCAACGTACCACTGGCTGCACGTTCGACTCTTCCTGTAGAACTTCTCGTGCCTACAAGACATATTAGCATTTGGTTGCATCACGCGAGAAGCCGAACTAGTTGAGTATGATGCACGCTTAGTCTGATCGCGACTTGATCATTGAATGCACCATGTATCAGACCAAGCTCTCCATCCCGTCGAATTGACAGCCTCCTCACCTTATCGCACAGTCTCTGAACGTCAGCTTCGGCCAGCTGCTTGCAAGACATCAAGCTCTCGATCCAGCCGTCGAGGGTGGGGATCGTAGTAGGCTCGAAGTTGAGCACGGGTGAAGCTTCAGCGGGTGCTCGCCCAACATCCTCCATATTGGTATCCATGGCTTAGCGGTGTCGGGTCGGTTATTGATGTGTTGATTAACGGGAGTGAGGTTGAAATGACGTTGATGCGGTCTGAATCGCGAGAAGTCAGGTGGGGCACGCCGCACGAGGCACAAAGGCGGCGGTCGTCAGGGGAGGAGAAAAGGGAAACAAGGGAGATGAGATAATCAGCAGCTGCCGATACCAGCAGCAGCAGTTCCTGTCGCTAAATCGTTCTATCGCCGTTAAAAAAGGAGTATGCGGAAAAAAGGCGCAGGATGGCGAGGACGCGCGAAGCTCGTTAGTGAAAGAATTTTTGGTGGGTGTTGTTAGGTGATGGATGATGATGGGGAGCGAAAGGAGGAGGGAGGGATGGATGATGTTGGTGGTTGCCAACCAGCCCAGCCCAGCCCAGCCCAGGTCCAGGCGCGGACAGCCTAGCACTCCAGCACGCCAAGCTGGGGCACCGCCAGCGCAGTGCCAGTCTAGCCAGTGTTTGCCCCTTCCACTACCAGCCTTGGCTTTGCATACCATAGGTAGCGCCTCATGTGGCGTCATGTAATCTCCATATGTATGTACCAAGATTTCAACAGAGAATTCTATAGGACGATTGGGTGACAAGAGTTCATCGCGATCTCATTTAAGTATAGTATTTTGATTTTCTGAGATGCGGCACTTCAATACTGAACCGCGGTGGCCATAAAGTCAAGGTACCTTGGCTGCAGCCCAAAGCTTGTCTAAGTAAGGTACCTAAGAACGGGTGTGGCTTGATATCTCTCTCCAATAACAACTACCTTAACATCACTTGGGCCACATCTGATCATAACTAGCTTCATTTCTTCGATAATTGTTACAATGGCCCTCCAATTCCAGCCTGGGTATTGCCATACGAGTAATATGTGACGCTGACAAGGTAGCCAAAGGGTTACTGACACCAACCAATTCATCCACCTCAACCAACACCTTAAACCTTTTGTTCATGACAAACCCAGTCCGACGGAAGCCTCCTTTTCCACACGCTCATAGTTTGACAAGTTCTTCCCGACCAAGTTCTCAAAGTCGAGGCCGACTTCCGATAACAGTTTAGAATGCTCCTTCGCCCTCTCCAGACACTGGGTCCAAACCTGCCCCCCAGGCTCCGTACTACTAAGTTGGCGTGCCAGGATGACGTTGAACGCATCTACTTCCTCCTTGGCCCATTTAACACATACACTCATCATGGGCGGCGGAAAGCAAGATTGGAAACACTGCACCGTGTTATGGATAACCATAAAGTAGACAAACGAGAGCTCCCAGATGTATAAATGCAAATCTCCTTGAAAGATACATTGTCTGATAACACGTTAGCTTGTCGTCTCATATAATTCACACCATTACTCACCTGGCTCGTTTATGTATAGTGCCACTTCTCGCCGCTAGGTACGATTCTCGAGCGCAATCTTCAAATCCAAGTCTCGTCAACCAGCTGACATTACGCCTTGTCTTTGTATTGTTATCGTGCGTCAGTTCGAGCTCATGAACAATCATGTCCGCCAGTTTAGCACATCGTTCGCCAACCTTGAAGTTGATAAAGTCCTGAGCAATGGCATGGTTTTTCAGCCCGCGAGCGATCGCCTTGAGCTTCTCGACACGAGCTACAGCGTCTTCGAATCGTTGCATCGCAATGTCAATGTCGAGGTCATCCATCTCGCTCTCAACCCAGCGCAAATTCTGCTGTTTGCCGTCAACTTCAATGAGCATATCCTTGATGTCTGACAGCGTGGCTAGAAGCTCCGTCTTTTGAAGAAGACCGGGATCGCGAGAGGCGAAGTAGTTGATCGTTTCACGCGCCTTGTTGTTGGCTTCCATCTCCGATCGAAGGCCCTTGCGAAGCTGTTCTATAGCCTTGCGCACATTGAGAAGTAGTTGCTTCTTCTCAGGGTCTTGGGGTTTCTCCGTCCGATAGATGAAAGATTCCTGACCAACACCCCGGACCATGATAGCATCTGCAAGCTTATTGCGTCCACTACTCGAAGATTCTCCGGTGCTTGACATGTCCACCACTTCAACATCTAATAGTGGCCAACAACGGTCGGCCACCAGCTTCATCATCGGCCCTCGAGCGTCTGAACCCGGCGCATCTGCTTTTCGCTTCTTACGCGATGCGATGAGGAGGTGATCATTAAGCAGAAAGATCTGCATCGCTCGGCGCGACTTGTATGTGGCATTATCAAGCTCAATCCAAGGCCCTGCGTCTTGGACAACATGACGTCCCGCCGCATTAGGGAGAAATTTTTGCGATCCTTCCACGCCTTTGAATAGAGCCTGCATTTGTGAGTTCCACATGGCGCTTCTGTCGGCAATAGAGGTGCGCCTATCTCTTCTGCTGCTGAGACCAGGGGCGCTTACGAGATCCCCCGGCATTGACTCATCATTCTTGGCAGCGGCAGCTCTCATAGCTGTCGTGTTGACTTTGAGCTCTGACATGAAATTCTTGAGATTCCTCATCTCGCTCTTTAGCTTTTCCGCTTCCTTGCTGATTTTGATAAACTGTGTCCTGTTTTGCATAACGCTCTGCTGTAGATCCATTCCCACACGCGTCTTAACTTTTCGCAACGAATCTTCGAATTCGCGGATTTGGTCTTCGGTTGCATCGCTCAGGGCAGCCTGGACGTATCGGTCTGGCTTCAACTTCGGATCTCGCAGACCCTTAATATCGACAACTGGAGCAACTCCAGGCCCCGCACGCGAGGGAGGCTTTCTGATAGCGGCAGCAGTCGGAGGTTCGTAATTGCCAAGCGAGGGCATCTGCGGCATTGGAGGTGCGGCGCCATTGGGGCCTGAGGGTGGTTGATTAAATCGAGTCGAGTACCGTCGTTTCACAAGATCCGAGGTCTATTGGACGATGTGAGCATAGCGACACTGGAAACAGCCTTTCAATGAGACTTACCTTTCCACCAGCCATCGGGGGAGGACGCGGGCGAGGACGAGCTTGGCCAGGGTCGCCTGGAGGGGGCGGTCTGTTTGTATCATCTTGAGCAATCGGACCTGAGATCTGGCGAGGAGCACTGATAGTTGGCCTCTTCTTTCTCTTGCCGCTGCGGAGGGATATCTTATTGCGATCCTCCATCTTGGGCAAGTGTTGTAAGTACAATGGCGACTCGACAGCTTCGAACTTGGTAAGAAGAAAAACAGTAAAGAGCTGGATTCATAAAGAAGTAGGATAATGTGAGTGGTGTCTTGAGCGAGGTCTATCTTGTCTGGCTTTTTGCGCCAGCCGACAGGTGGTCTATTCCATGAGCTGTACGTGTAATCGTCAGGCCTCTTCAGTGAAGCAGCTACCTTCGGAATGGAAGTCCAGTGCATCAGGAGGTGGGGTACGTACCGAACAACCCAGCCTCAGCCGGTTACGTGGGTTTCATTGACAGCATTGATGAGACAGACCTTGTCCAAAGGACTCTATAGTAGGTAAGGTTTCTCGTAAACAAACGGAGAAGAAAGAAATGCTTTTACATAGAGGAGAGAAGCTATTAGAATGATTGCTTTTACTTGATTACTCTCACAATCACCTATCGTTTCTGATTCTGAAGATCCAGCTTTCTGCCCAGCTTCGAACCTCGGACCCAAATAGGCTTAGCGCCACATCATGTGCTTGCTCCGGTTCTAAAAAATTGGTTTATCGCGACGACTAAAGCTTGCCGCTCCCGACGCTCAAACAGAGAATAAACCCGACCTCGAGTATTGACGACATAATATCTTCCGTCTCTTGGTCGCCGACGTCGCCAAGTAACATCTCGAGCCCCGGTCTTACTCGCTGCAATTGATACCGTGGGAATATATCCGGTCTTTTGCTTATTACGATCCAAGCTATAAACCTCCTCACCTACATCATCAATCTCCAAAATGGTGCAGCCCACCACTCTCGTAACGGCATCCGTTGCTACCGCCGCCGCCGCCATTGTCGGTAAGACTGCGCCATTCATTCTGCTTCATGAGATTGCTTTTTTCAATGCAGTCAATCAGTCGCAGACCATCGAAGCTCGGTGCACAATGGCTAACGAAAATACCCTCTGATCAGGTTACGCCATCTACTTTGACTACCAACGTCGAAACCAGGCCGAGTTCCGCCGAAACTTGAGGAGGAACGAGCGCAAGCAGGCCCGCGTCGCAAAGGAGGAGGCAGAGGCTTCTACCCAGCAACAACGTCAGAGCATTCGCATCAGAGTGGAGGAGGCCAAGGAGGAGGGGTTCCCTACTGGTGTTGAGGAGCGGGAGGCTTTCTTCAACGAGCAGGTCATGGCAGGAGAGATGCTCAGCCAAGATCGTAGGAAACACTCTGGTCTAAATACCACTAGTAACTTGCTGACTCTTGTTCTGCAGCTTCTAAGACTCTTGAGTCTGCTTTGGCCTTCTACAAGGGTCTCAAGGTCTACCCTGCTCCTGGTGACCTGATCCGAATTTACGACAGCACTGTTCCCAAGGTATGATGGCGAGCACGAACCTTAAAGTCAAGTTGTTTCGCTAACACCTGTGCAGCCCATATTAGACATCTTGGCTGAGATGATCGCATACGACTCATCTCTCGACATCAGAGCGCCCGCCGCTCCCGCAGGCATCAATCTCTCTGACATTCCTAACGTTGGTCTCGATTAAAGAGGGATGTCATCTGTCCGAGTTTCCTCTCCGCTCCTGGCACATATATACCCAGACGTTGGAAATGCTCTTGAATTTTAACACCCTTTCCCCAAAACCTGTACCATGGAAAGTCTAAACAACAGGCTTTCACAAAGAAATGTCTAATGGAGACCTGACGGCCTTCAATGTACCATAGTTCCGCTCTTCCAGCTTCCATAGAGCTTTGTGTAAACAAATGTACGTTGAAACGAATAGGTTTATGAACAACAATTGCTTGCCGCATTTCAGAAGCACAATGCCTCATGAGGACGCCAACTATTGGGGAAAGGAACCCACAGGAGCTTCCCAAGATATATGATCATCCAAGACCGTCCGTGATAAACAAGCTCGATATA